CCCACCCTGCTGCATTGGGATGCTGTTTTCAGAGAACCTGCCAGGAATCTACGGTCTCATTCCTGCCCAGCAAAGCTGCTTTGGGGTCTGTTATCGCCTTTGTGGCGTTTAGGTTAATTTTCCTGTGGGTGTTAATTAGCACACAGAAGTAAAGTAGGGAGGGCCCACGGAGCAGAGCGGGTGGGTGATGGGGATGTTGGGATCAGGTGGAGTTGCTGGCTGCAGCAGTGGCAGACCAGCGTGGGCCCCTGCCTGGCCTTGCAGGCATGCGGCTGCATATGTCGCGGGCATAAGTCTTGGCAAGGAGAGATGGGTCGTTCTAAGAGCCGCTGTTGCAGCTGTAAACGTAGCCAGAGACTGTCGACGATTGCCTCATTTCCATCTACCCTTGTTGTCTGAGGTGGTTGCACTGACCCCCTCCCCGTGGGCCCAGCTGAGAGCCTGCAGAAGGCAGTCCCCCTCTGCTAATATGTGATCTTTTACCGTGGCTTGAAGCATCAGTTCACATCGTGGTGAGAAGTGAATGCTGGGCCTGGCAGAACAGCAGTTTGAGGTACTAGCAAACTGGTGATCTGATCTGAGGCGGGAGACGGAAGGGGCTCAGATGAGAGCAGTGGTCCGATGTGGAGTGGCAGATGATGGATTGCAGCACCAGGATGGACCTTATGCTCTGAGTATGTTACCATGTTAGAGCGAATTGTTGGGGGGTTATGGCAATCCTTCATGTGGCAGGAGATCTGTTAGGCTTTTCACCGTGTTGCCATGGCTCATTTGGCCAGCGGAGAAGCTCCCTTTCTCCACAGGTGACTGGACAGAGACAGCCCGATGTTCCTAGGTCTGGACAGTCTTGCTCTTAGCCTCAGCTGTGGCATGGCTGAGCTGTGGTAGAGCCAGGGCGCGTCAGGCCAGGAGGGCTGTAGAAGGCAGCCAGGGCCGTGTCTGTGTGGCAGATAGCGCAAGATCCCAGCAGGGCTGAGTATGTCTAGAGATAGACATGTCCATACTGTGCCACAGTCTGTGGTGATTTGGTTTAGGCAAAGCGCTAATGTCTCAAGCTTTGTTCTTGCAGTGGGAAAGCAAGTCTGCTCTCAAAAAGAAATGTTAAGAAGACCGATTCAGGGAAAAGTGATGGTGCCAACTATGAGATGCCAGGATCTCCTGAAGACGTGGAGAGAAACCAGAAGATCCTTCAGTGGATCATAGAAGGAGAGAAGGAGATCAGCAGGCATAAGAAAACAAACCATGGGTAAGGGCTGGCAGAGCGAGGAGCCTTCACACTGTTTTATTGCATCCCCTGCATAAGGCATGTGTTTCTAGACTGTACAGCAGTCTGCCTTGTTCCTGGAGATCTCAGGGAAGCAAGAATCCACCAGGCACAAGGGTGTAGGTCCTTTGGGGGCCTGAGGATTGCTCAGGGGCTGTAAGGGCAATGATCAGTTTTTTCTAAAGGATGAATTGTGGCTGTTGCGGGAGGAGGCTCAAGCCCCAGGAAAATCTCACAAATTGCTGCTGTGGTTACTAGGTGGATAACGTGGCACACAGTAGGCAATAATTTTGGTTTAGGCATTGCTGTTACTCCTGCAAGGTGTTGATAGAAACGTGGGCCCTGCCACACTGGAGCCCTTGATCCTGAGTAAGCAGTTTAGCATGGCTCAGGCAAGGAGAACTGGGCTGCCCTGCGTTTCGGCTTACTGAGAGCATCCTCTGGGATGGACTTGCCTGCCTAGAGTGAAGCCAAAGACATGGCTGTCTCGGGAATCTCTGTGTAGTCAAGCAGATCTCCTGTGGGCATGGATCCTTAATCACAGTCTGGTCAGCTCTCTGGCAAAAGGCAGCGTTTGCCAGGGTGTCGGTAACGAGAGGGATCTGGGTTCTTACTCCAAGTGATGCAGCTGTAATAGTGACTAAGCGGTGAAAGAGCTGTCATTTTTTTCTCCTGCTTCATGGTAGTGTCTGGGAGAGGTCGCGCTGCAGGCAACTGGGACCGAGTGCCAGAGCCACGGGCAGTGCCAGGCACCCATGAAATCACGCGGCACCTTCTGCTGCTGGAGCTGGGGAAGGATGAGCACATCTGTGCAGCATCCATTTCCCTTGGAGATGCTCAGCTGTTAGCTCATCAAGAGGCTCACAGCCTGGGAATGGTGGCATCCCACTTTGGCATGTCTTCTGGGGGATCCTGCTGGGTGAATTTGGCAAATATTTGAACTGCCTTTTACTGGGTTTGTTTCTATACATCGTGCATTTCATGAGAGTCCATAAACAGGTGTGTAGTGTTTGTGTCAGGTTTGGGTCGCTCACCCTGATATCTCAGCGAAAGGCCAGAATAGGCAGTGGCTTGCTGCCTTGAAATCTTCTCTAGACATACAGCTGGTTGGATGGTGTTCCCCTCTCTCCCTTGGAAACTGCAGCACAGCCATGCTGTAAGAAGCTTCCCAGGGGTGCCTGAGTAACCCCGTGCCCAGCTGCAGAAGCAGTAGATCCATCTAGGAGCGTCTGTGCGGGTGTGAAAAGGCTTGGTGGTTCACTCAGAATGTTTGTATCTGTGTGTAGCTCTTCAGGTGCTAAGAAGCAGCTGTCCCATGACATGGTCCGACCCCTCTCCATTGAACGACCTGTTGCTGTGCATCCGTGGGTCAGTGCCCAGCTCCGGAACGTCGTCCAGCCTTCTCATCCCTTCATCCAAGATCCCACCATGCCGCCCAATCCAGCCCCCAACCCTCTCACCCAGCTGGAAGAAGCTCGCAGGAGGTTGGAGGAGGAGGAAAAAAGGGCTGGAAAGTTACCCCTTAAACAGAGGTACGGCGATACGGTCTGATTGCTCATGGGAGGCAGTGGGGAGACTGCTCTGAAGGTGGGGAGCTGGGGGAGATGTCCACCATGCTCTGCTCTGGTTTCCAGCTTCCAGGACCAACTGCACGTAGACGTGTGCAGAGAGGTCCGAGATATCTTCCCCAGTCCCTCTGACATGGCCTCTCGTGATGGTGTGAATGCCAAAACCCACCTGGAGATCTGTGGTTGTTGGACAGAGAAGCTGGAAACGCTCCTGTTGGTTGTGCTGAAAGTGTGGAGCAGGGGCTGTGGAGAGTTTCGGAAGGAGCTGGGCAAGCAGAGCCCATCTAGAAGAGGCACGTGACGGGGCAGCTCTCTCCCGTGGCGCTAGCCAGCCTCCAGCCTGCTGGAGCTTCCTTGTTCTTCGCTTAGTGCTGACTTGGTTGGTGCAGTGGCAGAGCTCGCAAGCATGCAGCAAAATTAAGTGCAGAGGAAGAATATGTATTTTGCTCCATATCTACATCTCCTGCAGTCTGCTGGCAAAGGCTGTTTGTGGCACCCAGACAGGAACGCTGCGGTCTAGTCCTGCCGTAGCAGAATTGACTCACTACGTGTCCATATCCGAGTCAGTTAATTGTTCTGTGACTCAGCTTAATGCCAGTTGCAGAGCTAATTCTCCTGCTCCTGTATTGTCTTTCAGGGAGGATGGGGAGATTATTCGGTGTTTGCAAGGCACGTGCAGCACTCAGATGAAAAGCATTTTGGAAGTGCAAGATAATTAATGTTACCTGCTAAAAGCTCTTTGTTGACACTGAATACCTTTCACAACGGGAATTGCATGTAGCCGCTGCAGCGCTTTATAGCTGTGTTCTGGAAATTTGAAATTTTGGGGTCTGCCACTTAGAAATACGAGCGTAATTTTAAAAAGAAGCTCTTTCAGTTGCTGAGCTCCAATTATTTTTGCTTGCATTGACCGTACAGCAGACTTCTGCGTGCTTATGTCAGAGCATTGGTTGAAAGCCAGGTAATTAGAGGGCTCTCCCAAGTCAGGTTAAACCACGTTTATTTGATCTGTCAGTTGGTGTAATTGGATAGGAATTATTAATAAAGTCATTTATAGTCGTATTAAATTCATGTACCCTCCCCAGAAACGTCTAGATGCAGATACACGCTTTGGAAACACTGGCCGAGGCTATATGCATGTATAACGAATATTGCTAATGATAATTTGGCAAGTATTGTAAAGGTAGTTTTTATAGAAACCCTATGGCATTGCGGTAAGTGCCGCGCAAACCAGCAGGAGAACAGGCTGAGCCATGGGCCCTCGCAAGGGCTGGCGGCTTCCCTGATGGCGCCGGGATCCCGCCGACCTGCAAGGAAAAGCAGGGAGCAGCGTTTGGCAGTTTGGGGGAACAGTTGACGAGAAGCGAACGCGCCTGCGTCCAGGAGCCCCCAAAACTGGACGCAGCAGTCCCCGCGGAGCCGAGGATCGCTGGACGGTGAAATGGCTCTGCTGCGTTTTGGCAGGATTAGGTGCTGCAGCTGAAGCATGCCTGAGCGAGCACCTTTTGAGAGAGCTCCTGTTATGGCTAGCAAAGGAGCATGCCTGAAAATAAGACTTCACATAGCCTTGTTGAGAATGAGCCTGCCCAAAGCCAGCTGGAGAGCAAGGGAGAAGCGGAGAGGGAAGCCCACCTGCAAAAAAAATGTTTATTTCAGTAGGGAGCTTCTGAGAGCTCTGGGAAATTGGAGTCTCTGCCCAGGTTTGTCGGCAGCCTCAGGGAAGCGGGGAGATGGTCAGCACGCTCCCAGCGGCAGGGGAGGTGGAGGTGAGCCTGGAGGTGGTATGGAGGCCCAGGCTCACCCTGGCCGCAGGAGGAGGGTACGATGGGCCAGCTTCGTGCAGCCCAGCTGGCCTTGCCAGCACGTTACCTTGCCCGCAAGCTGGCTCTGCCTTGGCCGCAGAGCCCTCTCCAGCAGCGTCCTTCTCCCTGATTAACCGCTTGCTGCTTTATACAGGGTGGGTCTCAGCAGCCTTTCTTCCACCCCAGCACTGCCCCTCTAGAAACGGAGGAGGCATCTGCAACGTCTGTATTGGGCATCATAAATATTCTTCCAGAAACCACACAGCTGTTGCAGAACAAGCCTTTCTCTCCCTTCTCCACAGCCTTTGTGGGGGCATTGATCTTCAAGATATCTACCTAATTGCATGCTAGGAAGTAAAGTACTACAAGAATAGGTGTCGTATACACGATGACCTGTGGATCCCATGTGCCCGCTGCATTTGTGGAGACCCCTCTCCCAGTGGCCATCAGTTCTTTTGGATGTACAGCCAGTTTTTGAGGCATTTCCTGTAGCTCGGTGGCACAATTCACCTCTGTTCCCAGCTGGACAGAGTAGTACCAGCTCTTCAAAAAGATTTTTGCAAGCAGCAAAAGACTTTTTTGAACGCTCCAGCAAAAATGTTAGCATGAACTTGGTTTGGAATTAATTTGGTTGTGCCAAACTCGAAAGAGGACGGGAGCTGGACACTGGATTACCTCCCTGCTTGTTGTATTTTGGCCTTTCCGAAACTCTTTAGCCCCACAGCTGATTTGGGGTGAGCCTCCCCTGTGCTGAGCACCTCACCCCTGCGTCACAGCTGTGTCATATTCATGCTCTAACACCATGCAACCCAGTTTAGTTTCACAGTGACATATCGGCCGCTGTATTATACGGGTAGATAATCATGAGTGATAGTGAAGTACAGAGGCAATAAGTCAAATCAGTACTGCACTAAACCTCTCTGTTTTGTTCTCAGCTAACGTTTCATGCTTGTGACAAATGTAGCAAAGGGAGCTGCTCCCAGAATGGGGAATATAGTGTTACTTGTCTGTATTTCTGCAAACAGCTCTAGCGCGGACCCAGGAGACTGGTGCAGGTGGAAGCTTTCAATGAGTGTGCTCTGAGGGCAGTTCTGAGGCACATCTCAGACACGATCTGATGAAACAGCGCACTTAACGGTGGCCCATCTGGGTAAGAAAATGGCCTCAGGAGATGATGAAAGCAGAGACAGTTGTGTTGTCTTGCTCTCCTGAAAGGAATACTTGAAAAATTACATTTTCAGTGATTCCTTATTCATCAGCCCATTAGAAATCTGCTGCTGCGGTTGTGGATGCGTGTGTATTTTGTGAATGTGGGATGCTCCTGAGAGACAATGTTTTTTCCTAAAGAAGACATTAGCCCTTTAGATCTTGCTCCGTCCCTAGTCGTGTCCTTTGGGAGCTGCTCCCAGTTGAGTACTCTGTTATTGTGTGCTTTGAGTAGTCTGAGCCCTCCCCCTGCCACCAGTAAGTTGGAGAGAATGGATCGTGCCTGATTCTGCTGCATCCTCTTCTCCGAGGTGCCCTGTCCCTTCTGCTGTGTGTGACAGGAGAAAAGGGAAGGTAGGCAGCTGTGTCCAGTCTCAAGATTGTTCTTCACGCGTGTCCCAGAGGTTATCGGCCTGCTGATACAGTCAGGCTAGCTTTTATTCCGGTACTGCATGGTGTCAGCTCGCTCTGGCATGGATCTCTCTGTGCCACTGCACTTTGTGTCTCCTCTGGAAATTGTAATTTGACTGTGTATAGAATCACAGAAGGCTTTTGGTGGGATGAGACCTCTGGAGGTCTCCAGTTCAGCCTCCTGCTCTGAGCAGGGTTGACTGCAAAGCTAGAGCAGGTCGCTCAGGGCCTTGCCCCGTCGAGTTCTGGAAATCTCCAAGGATGGAGGTCCCACCACCTCTCCAGACCCTGTTCCTGGGCTGCACCACTCTCCTGAGGAAGAGTCCTTTCTTTATGTCCAACCAGAGTTTCCCTTGTCACTGCCTGTGGCCTCCTGCCCTTCCCTCTGCCCCTCTGAGATGAGCCCAGCTCCAGGGTCCTTGTAACCCCGTGGACAGGACAAGGCATGATTCGATCCCCCTCCGCCTCCTGTCCTGCAGGGTGACCCAACCTGCGCCCTCAGCCTCTCCTCCCCAGTCCTGCGCTCCAGCCCCAGCCGTTGCAGCGGCCCTTTGCTGGGCTCCCTTCACTTCCTCTGCATCTCCCCTGTACTGTGAGGTCCAAAACCAGCCACGCTATTCCAGATGTAGCCTCACGCATGCCAAGGAGAGGGGGAAGTCGCTTCCCTCGACCTGCTGGAACGCTTGTGCTAATGCAGCCCGTGGTGGAGCTGGCCTTCTGCAGAGCATGCTGCTGACTCACATCCAACTTGCTGTTCACTCGGACCCGGGCATCCACCAGAGCTGCTCTCGGCCTCCGTTCCTCAGCCTGCGCTGGTGCACAGCGTTGTTCTGCCCCTGGGATTTGTAGGCACAGCAGCCGTCACTGCTTTGATTTATGGCAAAAGTAGGAGGATCCGTAAATGGGTGTTTGTTTCTGACCTTACCCCTGTGAGCTGTGCAGAATTTCAGCTTTTGGGCATTAGCAACGCATCTGTGGTCTGGAAAGAAGTGAGTACTGCGATTCCAGTGCTTAAATGCCTGTGTGTTTTCCGTGACCAGGCTTTTCTCTCTGCCAT